AATCAATCAATCATCATCAATATCAATTCATCAAAGTGCAATAATTAGACAGAATGTGATTAGATGAGTTTTTATATGTTTTCATAGTATCTAGTATCCAGTATTAACTTCAAATTCCATTTTAAATTGGTATTTACAATTTTTGCAATGGCCCAGATATTTCCATATACAAATCTTTCCTTTGTACTATTTATTATCTTGCTACGATCTGCAATCGAAATTAGACTGGCGCAGCATTATCCATATATATCTATATTATTCATCAAAATCAGATAGAGGTTTGAGAAAAAATATAATTGCTCGGTAAACTCCCTTTCCATATTGAAGAATAATAGAAATGTATAACATCATCATTATCATCCTCCTCCTCATCAACTGTGACGTCCCAATAAATCGCAATAATTCAAACATGATGCATAAGTTCTCAAACATCATGGCCTCATCCTTTGTGTCCGATACCAAATTCTCGATATCTCATACCAGTGAGTGAATGAATATATGAAAGTCCGAATTTAAAATCCCCCCTGAACAGTAACAGGGGTATTTATAAGCGACTCACCGAACATATAAATCCAACTGCTCACGACATCCGAGTTACGATCCGCCATCCGCCATCTGACTAAACTCTCCATCTCACTAATACTCCGAAACAAATTTGTATGTATGAATAGGTCACTGGCAGTAAGTCAAAGTGTATCTCCCATTTACTAGTAGCAAGCACGGTGGCATTGTTTCTTCAGAGTTAACACACACACTAAAGCTATTGACGGGGCTTGGGAATGTTCGGGGGCTAATTATCCTAGCTATATTCCTGGCTATATTCCTGGCTATATTCCTGGCGGCTTACTTGCGCATACTATTGCTATTATGTAAGTTATTGCATTCGCTTTAACGTGGTATCAAATAAAACAAACATGTAGCTCCGAGTCGCAAGGGAACATTTGTGTTTTTTGGGATAGATAATAGATAGCAGATAGCAAATAATAGAGGTTTATAATAGAGGCTATTAGCCGAAGTGTCTAGCTCTGCAATTGCGAAATCTTGGTGCTACTACACACACTATAGTAGAAATACACTAATATTGCGTGAAAATCATATCACTCAAGCATCTAAGTACATTTGAGCTTGAATGGATAATCTTTAGGATGTATGATTGCAACTCAAAAGAGTAAAATATCATCATCATGAGATAAAGCTCGACGACCATGACTGACCTCACTTCTCCAAACAGCTCAGCTCAGTTTATTCATTCAAATTTTTCCAGAGGAGACGTCTAGTCTACTAGTCTACTCTACTAGCAAAATAGCTTATCTTATAATCCAAGTTCCAAGTTCCAAGTTCCAATTCACGGTTATTATTCCCGCTCCCACTTCAACCCTTCCAAAGTTTTCCTAATTTATAGACTACCAGAGCCTAAAATCTCCCGAAATCCACCACACAATAAAGAACTTGTCAACTTGAATATACAAATGGTATACTCGAGTATAAAACCCCAATCATCATCCACTAGAGACAACACGAGCGGAATTACCGCTCGTAGCGTAGTAAATACACTGTACACATCTCCAAACCAAACCAGAACTGCAACTGCAACTGCAACTGCAGACTTCGGAATTTAAGCACCGCTGGCTGCTGGCAGACATTATAAAAAGAAATTCGAATGATGTGCTCGAGTATATGCATATACGGAGAACGCACGAGCACGACTTGTGCCATAATTGAGTAAAAAAAAGAGATAAAAAAGACAAGAGTACTGGATAGATAGGCTCATATCTGCAAAACACAAAATCCAACTTGACCAATCGCCTTTGCTCAGGCTCCCGCAGATATAAAACTTCTGCTGTTGCGAAGATGGAAGGTATAGTGATGAGATAGATAGAGATATGAGACATGAGATATGATGGATGGTAGGTTGACAGGATGAGATATTGTTGATAAATTTGAACAAATAAAAATGTTAGCTACACGGAGACTTCCAACATTGAACCATACATATATAACGATGTATATATATATAAGAAGAATCAAGTATTCCAATCCAACAACTTCTAAACAAGAACAATGAGATCGCACACTCGACACATTCAATTCAATGAAGACCATATATCCCAAGTTTCTAACACGAGATGAACATCTAGGAACAAAAAACACTGCAACAACGATCAACTCGAACCCATACATATCCACCTCCAGCACCTCCAGCCTTTTTCTCTTTATCACACTTCACACTTCACTTCACTCCCCTCCCTTTCCCTCAACAAAATCAAGGTAACCCTATCTCCACTCATACCTATACCTACCTAAACCTACACCATACCCATACCATACCCTAGTAAAAAACCAACTCAACTCCAAATCTTATGCATATATATAGCGACACACACAATAGCTCCTCTAACACCACCAACTACCAACTACCAACCACCAACCACCACCAACCAACTAACTCACCGAAGAAAAACAAATACTGTAACCTTAGACATCCATCATAAATAGTGATAGACTAATAATAATAGCAAGCCCAAACCCAAAACCTCAAGTCTAAACCTAAACCTAAATCTAAACCTAAAGGTTATAATTATTAATTCTGCTCTACTCATCTGCCTGCTTGTTAATCTACTCATAAACTTAGTCCTATCTATCGAACTGTCGGACTGTCGGACATCATGTTCCCGATCACTGATCACTGATCACTGATCACGTCGCATCGCATCGCATCGTTATACATTATACTATACTCAAGTATTAACATTCTTTCGCATACAAAGTTACAAAGTTACAAACACTCAAACACTCAAACACATTATATTTCTCCCACTACACTAGCATAGTAGCATTCAAGTTAACTTCTCCAAGGATATTCCTCCATATCCGCTCCCCTCCATTCCATATATATACTTCAGCCCGCCACGCC